CGTGATTTCCATCAGAGTCTTCATCACTGCTGCTCCTGTTGTCAGTACTAGCCTACTGCTGCTTTCATCACCTGGTGTAGAAAAAAGAAATCACTGTATAAGCGTGCAGACATTTTTATATTATATACACATCTTGTACACGTTTACATTCACAAACATATGGGCATGTGTAAACCGCAAAAAGCTGAAACTCTACATGAAATTATAAGCATTATTACTGCTGTTTTTTTTTAAATAAGATTATCTATTCGGCCTGTTGCTTTAGGACAGCATGAAGTGGGGAAATAGAGAATTGGGGAATGACACGGGCCGCAGGCCGGGATCGAGCCCGTGACCACTGCGGCGAGGCGGTGCCTCTGTGCATGCTGCGTACAGACTACACTCCTGACCAGGTGATGAAACCGGCAGCAATAGGAGCGTCGGTAGCTTTGTGGATAGTGCCGACGTGGTGTAGGAGTGTAGTCCTCATCACTATCCCCGCTGTCAAGGCAGCTGTCGTCACTTTCGACTGGTGGAACCCTGGTTTGAAGTCCACCTGGTCGCTTCCCATAGAACATTGGTGCATTCATTTTGTTCTGTGTTGTGGAAAAGTACAAACAATGCATTTATATCCCAGCATGCTACTTTTATAATGTTTATAGAAATTAACTTGAGTGGCATTTCCCAAAGAAAATGCATGTGAGTGCTGAAATCCACCTAAATACAGCATTATTTCTATGCTGCTGTTACGGCTGAATGTGGTGAATTCGTGAGTCGCGACAAACATAAATCTTCAAATAACTTAAAAATTACTCGCCACATGAAGTCTATTCCAATATGTCAGCTGTAGAAGCAAAAGGTAAGCTGGCACGTATTGTTACCTTAGCACAACTTACCTCATATTGAACAATTTCTCCAAATTTGCAGCCTCCACACGCAGCGGTTGTTAGCCAAAGCGTTAGCTTCCATGAACCGGATGTAGTTGTCACTCTGACCGGTCCGACAAGAAACTTGATTGCTTGCAAAAGAAAAAAACTTGGCTTCCAGAGAGATGAAAATATTGAAAGTGTATGAAAGGCCCGTTATCTGTTTTTTCCATTTAAACAGAAAATCGGTAAACGAGTCATTACCCGTTTTTTCATTTTGGTTCTGGAAACAAATACTGAAAAAACAAGTCATTATTTTGTTTTTTCATATTTGATTTTATTTTGAAAAACGAATGAACGAATCATACACGGATTCGAATGTCCACAGACCTGTTCAATATTCAATCCAAAAAGGAATAACGGTAAAACAAATCGTCAAAAACCAAAAACGGGCCGGGTTTGATTGGTTTTTCATTATTTGATTCTGACACCAAAAGCGTTTTTCTTGGGTACTCTTGTTTTTTTGTTTTGAATCAAATAACAGATTTACCGTTTTTGGTTTTTGAATTACGAATGAATTACGAATTATCCGATGATACCCGGACCGTTGGACCCAAAAGCAGGCAATGCAGGCAAACAGTGATTCCCAAACAGGCAATGGAAGGAAATCCAGAAGACAATTTCAGGATGCAGGTTTCAGGTCACAGACAATAGTTTACAGGAGCTAGAAAACACAGCTAAGAAGCACATGGCAAACTGATGAGGAGGTTTGATTAAATGTCTGCAAAGCTGATGAGGAGAGTGGGAATAGGTGTGTAGATGGGAGGAGCAGAAAGTTCGAGGGCATCTGATGGATGGATGGAAAACTGATGGGGAGAGGGATGTGACTGGAATCAACTTCTCCTTCATTTTGCACATGAAACTAATTATTGTCATTAGTTGAAAAAGGAAACAGAAGCAGAAATCTGTCATGTGTTTCCTGCTCTGGACGGGAATTAATGGACCAGAGCTGAATTAATGTATCTCCCCAAAAAACAATGTGCAGCTGTAAAAACTGTAGTTCACTGTTGAACAATGTGTTGTATGATTGACTGCCATAATGCAATCCTCCCTGCTTTAAATTAATTAATCCCTGCAGATAAATTGCTTTCAAGGGCACAAAGGAATCTGAACTGAGCTGACTGAAGGACATTTTATTGTAAACACAAGAAAGGTTGTCTTCTTTTTCTTCAATAGGTTTAAATCTTGAAAAGGTTTCCTAGTAAACAAAGTCTGATAGAAGTGAGTCACTCCTGTTCTCAGAAGCCACCAGACACTCCTGCTGATGCTTAAAAGCTGAGTCATGTGGTTATTTCATCACTGAAGGACCGATTTCTAAATAAACATCCTTCACATAAAAGTAAGGCAAAAATCATGTATCCATTGGTGCTGCCACAATTGGGTGGGTTGCAAATTCCACCCACTCCTCGGGCACAAAAAAGACACTTCTTTACCTCACCTTAAATTTACCTCAAGATGGCGCTGTAACAATCACGTTTACATTTTTATGCCTCTGCACCAGCGATAGCCATGGCCAGAGGCATTATATTTTCGGGTTGTCTGCCCGTCCACCTGTCTGTCCATATGATTCTTGTGAAAGCGTTATCTGAAGAATGCCTCGTGGGAATTTCTTCATCCAATGAACTGATTTGATTATGGTAGTCAAAGGTCAAGGTAACAATGATCTTGCATCTGTCTAATTTTCGTGAATGCAATATCTCAAAAACACCATGAGGGAATTTCATCAAATTTGGCACAAACATCCATTTCAACTGATTAAATATTGGTCGTAGAAGGTCAAAGGCCACTGTGACCTCACCAAACATTTCTGGCCAAAACTCAAGAATTAATACGTTAATTATGGCAAATTTCACATAAATGTCTAGCAGGATAAAATGATGAAGTGATGACATTTTACATCAAAAAGGTCAAAGGTCAACTTCACTGCGACATCGTAACGTTTTCTGGCCATTACTCAGTGTCACATCTCAGGAACACAAGGGAAGACATTTGATCAGATACTGAATTGGTGACTCTAATCTTGAAACTGTGGTAATTGTACAGATTTTCTGTGCTGCCAAGGGAAAGATGTGTGTGAAGCATCCATGTTTTTACAGATAGATGTAAACTGTAAGAGAAATTTGACTGGTGCGTGGAGACTTACAATCATGAGGCAGTAATTCTGGTTTTATTTTGGTCTTCTTTCATGTTAGCGTATGGGCATGTGTATTCCAGTATGTGATTTAGAGGTCAGTTCTTGTTCAACTTGTAGAGTAATCTTCAGATATTCTGCCACTACAGGGCCACACAAATGCAAAAAGTTTATAGCTCATAATCAGCCATGGGGAATAATACAAAATTCTGTTTGCACCCTTTAGGGTCATGTCTCAGTCGATGCATAAAATTTGGAAATGATTGCTTCAAGAGGGTGTGGCTTATTTCAATAAATCTAAATTTGAAGAATTTCACATTCCAAACTTCAAAAATCATAATGCATCACCAGTACGTCCTACAGAGCCGATTCCGCTGAATTGGGACAGAAGTTTGTCTCAATGCAACCTATAGTCAATTCAGAAGTCCGTCACTCTATATTTTTAAGAATATGCTAAATTAATTATTATATATAACTCATCAAGTCTTCATTCAAATGCAACCAAAATTGACAAAATTGAATCAGTTTAACGGGTAGCCCACAGTGATATTCAATATCTTGTGGTATTTGTACAGTATGCACAACATTTTTTTAATTTCATCTAATTTTTAACCAAATGTCACCAACATATTTGACAATATACCTGAAACCAGCAGAACATGTTGAGATTTTTTCAGAATCTTATCACCAACACTTTGACTGTTGGAATTGCTTTAAGACTAAATACACACACAAACACACACACACACACACACACAAAAAGGTTTGCACATGACATCATTGCCTCAAGTTCTCAGAAGGTGTGTGAGAAACCTTGCTCCTGGTGCAGTAAGTAAGTCATTTGCTTGGGGTTCACTGAGGTCTTCAACAATACACCAAAAACTAGCACTGTGATTTTTTTTTTCTTTTTCAGATTTGTATCCCCATCAATAAATTGTTTTGAAAATTGTAAATTTTGTGACCTCCCTATCTCTGCCCTCTGCTTCTGAGGCTGGTTTGGCTTTGTGGCCTTGGGGCTGGTGGGCAGGGTTGAAGAGGTCTTCATGTTTGTGTGTAAATTAAAAGACATGAAATGCATTCCAGATCTTGAACGCAATAAAAACCCAATGCAAATGTAGCCATGAGAAACATATTTTAACAGGTCATAAGCCACATCAAATGTCTCTACAAGTAGATGGATGTGATAACCAGCATGAATCATTTTAAAGAACATCAGGAGCTTTGCTTCTTGTCAGTTAAAAAAGAGACAAGCATTCAAATGCTTGCAAACTGCTTGGACCTTGTTTACTGTCACCGATTTAATTATTACTGATTATTTCAGCCTCTCTTTAAGTTTGTGTGTGTTTTAGACTCCAAGTCTGTCCAAACTCTTCAGTTTAGTTTAATTTCTCCACTTTAAGAGCCTCTTCACACAGGAGAGGTTTCTGTCACACAAACTGTCAACTGATACATACACAGAGGAGTGTGTGTGTGTGTGTGTGTGTGTGTGTGTGTGTGTGTGTGTGTGTGTGTGTGTGTGTGACGGACACACAGAGAATGTTTGGAATTCAGACCAAATATTTTGTCCGTGTGTCTCTGCTTGGGAAGCCTTTGTCACGCAAACACGAATCTGATCTCCACAGTGGAAGAAGTACTCAGACCCTTTACCCTTTACTTCAGTAAAAGTACTAATACCACAGGGTAGAAATACTCTGTTAACAGTAAAGGTCCTGCATTCCTATTTCATCAAATGGATAGTCTCTATATACAGACTCTACATTCAGTGAATGTAGAGTCTGTAGGCAAACCCCGGAGATCTTGCCTCCGGAAGAAGAGCAGAAGAGCCCTGGTTTCTGGTTGTAGGCTGTTTGTAGTACGCGTGATTTTGACCAATCACATTTGAGCCGGCTGCAGTTGTTGCCAGGTTAAACGGTCCGTGCAGTGAACTAACGAGGCGGAACATAATTGCCGTCACTGCAAACTCTGAATCCATCGCAATGGTTCAGCATATTTACTTATATATAAACAGAAGTCGAAAAAGGAAATTAGCCTCCTCTGCCCAAATCAAACCAGAATGCAAAAAAATCGGGGGGGTGCCCTCAGAGGCTGTATCGCCATCTGCCGGAAGTCAGACTCCGAATACAGCCGATGGGTTCCGAGAATGTCAAATGGACAAAAGTATTAGCACCAAAGTATATGGGTAGAGGCAAAACTCACTTTGAACTACAGGATAAGCTTTAAACAAAAAAGGTTGAGGTTCACCTTTGACCTGTGTCTTTTTAAAAAACCTGTCAATGATAAAATATTTTCAGTGTTTCAGGCTAAAACAACAGAGGGAAGGACTCCAAACACACTCCCTAACTGACTGTGTTTATGTCTCTAGTGAAGGTGGTCCAATTTTTACATTACCTGCATGTATATGGGTCATTTTTCACTGCAGTGATAACTGCTTTAGAATTAATAATTAATTAATACTTAATACTACTACATATCAGCTCAAATGGACGATTTTCAAAAAACGCACTACAAAACATGACTAATAAGATGTTATATT